TTTCCTCAGTTTTGTTTTCTGTAAAATGTCTACTTCCCAACAGCCAATATTTACCAAGCACATTAATTACTTACTTATAACCCTATGAACCAGGCATTATTGCTACTTTGCAGAGGAGATAACTAGACCACAAAGGGACTTATTTAGGACGATCAGGGCTTTGGAATTTAGGCATTTTAACCTCAGAGATTTCTGAACCAACCTAGCACCTCAACAAATGTGTTCCCTTCCTTCTCAGCCAATTCTATTCCTAGTTTCTCTTAAGGAAAAAAGAAAATGCCATATTTTTTAAGCAACCTACTATGTGCCTGGCATGGTAAATTAATATGTCCTCAAAATAGCTTAGAAAGTTGGTTTAGATTTCAAATAAGATTAAACTTTCCCCAGCGAAAAATGTATTTTACATAGAAAATCATTCCCTAATTGCTTTTCCAACATAAATCTGCGTGAGTTTGAGCCCCAGGAGCCTGATTCCACTTGGGGGGGGGGATGACCATCCAGGTTCCAGATCTACAGAACTGAGAACATTGTGCCACAAGCAGTCTTGAGGTTCTAGTACCAATTCAACCTTTCATCTCCAACCTCCCACAAAAGTAATGCAAAAAAGGCAGGCAGCAGAGACCTTGTCTGTGGATATTTCTCACTCAACTCATTCACCTTGACTCACCAAATCTCTGTTGCTCATATCACTTCATATTTAAAACATCTGCTACTTAATCGTTTTATTAAGGTCTATGTATTGTATTTGGAATTTCCCAGGATATTAAAATTCTAGCCGGAACTTGACTGTAAAGTACTAATTAAAAAAAAAATAAACAAAGAATCTCAGTGTATTTGCAAAGTACTTTGTATGCGTTCTCAACACATGACCTAGAGAAATAACTGCCCCAAGGAAGCCATTGAGTCATTAAACCCAAAGGTTTTCATTTTCTCATATGCTCTTTCTATGCACCTTCAGGAGTGCGCTGTTCCTGACACGGTTTGCCTTTAGGTATTTGTAATTTGGTTAACCAAAACTTGGGAGAAATGTGTTTATTTAATAACCAACCCATGAAAAAGCAGAAAATGGATTTCAATTTGTACAGGTTTGGGGGAGGGGTGGGGAGGCATCTGAGGATGACTTTCTGGTGATGATGACTTTTAGATTCTAACCCTTAAACATGGTCTAAATGCAGGGGAAATCAGGAAAGAATCCACAGTCCCGGTGCTGCTTATCGGGTGTCTAGACTGGAAGGCAAACCCCAAATACCAAAGAAGCATCCATGTGTCAAACCAGCATAATTCCTGAGCTATGCCCGGGGTCACATACCAAAAAGAAAGAAAGAAAAGAAAAGTTAGCTTGAAAAGAAAATCTAAGAGGGGTAACCAAAAGGTCAACCACAACTCGCAGGAACTGGGGAGAAGCCAGCAGGGACAGTGGGGCCAGCCTTCCCCCGCAGTCATCCCCCCCGCAGCTTCCTCCCCAGCCCCCGCGTGAAAAATCTCCAAGGCCCAGCTCCCCGGTTCGCACGCTTCTTCAAGGTCATCCTGAGATAACTCGGCGAACAATCGCCAGACGTCGAGCCGAGCGAACCTTCGGAGCCAAGAAATATCCCCCTTCCCCAAATCATTATGTAAATACTTTAAATGCCACCGGGCTTTCTCCAGCCTCACCAGAAACAAACTCCCAAACTTTAATTTAGATTGAGCAATTAATAAACGTGTTCGGCTTTGCAACATACACGATTAAAAGGCTTTTCAAGTCTGGCGAACTCCAGTTCAAAAACAGGTGCTCACTGACAAGGTCAAATGCATTATTATTATTATTATTCAAAGAAAAAGGCGAGAAAAGTTTTATTAACCTTCCTGAAGACAAGGTGAGGGGCTGGGGGGAAGGATGGCGGGGGGCACCCTGTCTCACACTGGGTCCCATGCCCGGCGAAACGGTGATTCCTCGCCTCGCCCGCGGAGGTGGGAGGAAGGAGATAAAAACAAAGAAGCCTACGAGGGTCACAGTTACCAGAACAAACTCAGCGCCGCCCTGCCACCCAGAGCAACCACTCCACCAACCAAAACAAACCTCGCTCCTCCGGGCGTCCCCTCCCACATGTAAACACACAAAGAAAAAAAGCAGCACGCACCCGGAGCCCGAAGCTTCCCCGCGGTGGTTTTTCTGGCGCGTCGTCGAGGCTGGGTCCCCGGAACGTGCGGGCCGAGGCTCGGCGGCGGGGGGTGGGGGTGCTCGTCGCACTCGCCCGTTTCCCCGAAAGCAGCAAACTGCCTCCGCGGTCCTCGCACAGCAGCCAGGTCCTCCCCCTCCCCCTCCC